TGACAGTTGATTGATTTGATTTACAGATATTGATATTTTCAATCAATTAAGATTTAATTATTTAAACTCTCTCTCTCTCTCTCTCTGTCTCTTCTTCTGACTATGTAATAATTAATAATTGCCTTTATATTGGCCTTAATTAATAATTTAAACTAAAAAAAAATATTTAGCAATTACCATTATTTTTTAAGAACCTGACTCACTGCTTGACAGCTATCGAACTTGGTTGTAAGTGACTATGTATATGGTGAACGCTCTAGCCCAGTAAAAGCCTATTCAGGCTGGCCTTAAATACGCCAAATTTATCGTGCCAGCTCACTAAAAAAGAACGCACCTTAAAGTTTGTAATAAAACTAGAATCGAATCAGTGCTTCCAGAGATTACGTATTGCCGACACACAAAAAAGTTTAAGAATTCTTTAGAAAAAAAAAGAATACATACGAGTAAGTCATATACGTAAATTACATATTAGAAGGGACTTAAATGTAAGTGACTTATATGTTACTAGCGGACCGGACAGACGTCCTGTACACACGACTTAAATTCGACAACTTTGACAACAACAAAAAAATCGACCTGAAGACACAATTTTTTTTTATTAAAATCGCTCCAGTCTTTTAGGAGTTCAGTAACATACACTCGTACAGAAGAATTATATATATATAAAGATTATATAAAAGCATGTAAAAAAAAATTATTACTTAAACATCTTCACATCGTTCCATTTCAACATAAACAAAAAAGTTCACGGAATCGGTGAATGATTTCAACAAACTATTATTCATATACTAGGTGTGATAAAGAGGTAATATAAATAATAATATAAAACACGTCATAAAACTGGCAGTACTATAAATTAAAAAAAAAATTGCCGTATGCAGCATCGAAGACCACTAAGCTCACTTCGATGCGGCGATAAAAGCCGGTCATTCAATCTGAGGGTTGACCCACATACACAACTATGTATGGATTCACTTCAAAGGTAACTTTAGCACAGAAGCGTACGAATAGAAATTCATGTGTTTCTATTTTAAAACTTTCTATTTTAGTTCCAGATACATGAAGTCACGTTTTACCTTATAACAGAATACAATTCACGTTCCTTTCTCAATTAGATACGCCTCATACGATTATAACATAACGTTTATTAGATGTTATTAAATGTTTTATAAACATTCCAAAGCTACACAATTTTTTAAAAAGATAAAAATAGTGGTGGAATGTAGTCGGACTTCAGTAATGAAAAGGTCAGACAACGTAATAATGTTGCTCTTTATAATCCATACTATATAATATAATAATAATATTATAAAGACAGACAGTTACTTTCTCATTTACAATAATATTATAAACGCGAAAGTAACTCTGTTCTCTCTATTTCGCTTTCACTCCAAAACTACTGAACCGATTTAAATGAAATTTGGTACACAGATAGTCTAGAGCCTGAGAAAGAGCCTGACATGGGCTATTTTTTAATTGGAAAAAGTGTTGTAAAGTGTTGAATGATATTTATTTGAGGGCATCAACGCGAGCGTAGCCGCGGGCAAAAAGCTATTATGACGTACTTAAGGAATTTACATAGCGATATGTCATTATGTATGTATAATGGATGTGGGGTACACACTAATGATTACAACGCTATTCCACATATTATGGTTCGATCGACACGGAAACCAATCTTGTGTTTATTCAAATAACAGTAATCACGCCCTGTCAGTTTATTATTGTAATTTCAACGGCGTTATTCAATAGAAATATTCGTCTGTGTATTTAAATTAATTGAATAATCAGCGGTTAAGATACTTCGTCACGTTTTTAAATGATTTCAAATATTTAGACGAACATGTCACACTGAATCTTATGAAATTTCATTTCTTGTTCAATTAACGTTAACGATGATTATGCTCGTAGCTTAGTTAACTCATCGAAGGACTTTATATGAAGTCTCTTCTATCTTCTATTAACAGACGTGTTCGCTTTCAGTTCGTAGACTATTAAGCTAGATCGAATGCAGAACCCATCTGAATAGTGTTGTATTAATGTACTATCGACACGCCCCGGCTTCGCATGGGTTCAATGTATTATACATATATCCTTCCTCTTGAATCATTCTATCTAGTCAAATCAAGATCCGTTGTGTAGTTTTAAAGATCTAAGCAAGCATACATACGGACAGACAGACAGCGGGACGACTTTGTTTTATACTATGTAGTTATTCTGGATCAGGTCAATACTGATGATTCAATACGATCATACATGATGATACGATCTGCACAGCGTTTTCAACCTTTAAAACCTGTGAGCCCGGTCACTTTACTCACCCGACGAAACGCACAGTCAAGAAGCAATACACTGGTCCTCTATGAGTCTATGGGATTTCTCCAGATGAACAGGCTTATTCGTGCAACTTTAGAAGCTATTGTATAGCTCCATCGCAAGTTTAAATAAATTTATAATACAATAGTAGGTGTTTTTTCTTTAGAAGTAGTTTCGTGTTTAGAAGATGGAATGTAGGCGCCAGTAAATGATAAAAAAATCTTTATGTACGATGCTTTTGAAACAAGAAGTCGTACAAATGGCCTCGTTCCCATAAGTAACGGTTGCGTTCATTACCAAAAGTTATGACAAATTTTTGGACTCCTCCTCTTTTCTATATGAATCATTAGTTAATTTAATTTAATAACTGCAGTAGATCCACCCAAGTGAGGTTGCCGGAGAAGTACCACAGGAGACCTGAGGCCGGAGACCGGAGGCCTGAAGTGGAAGTGTTATACTTCTGAGTTTCGTCTGGTGCGTGAGTTGCAATGAGCGGTGGTTATCATTTAACGTCAGGCGAATCGCCAGCTCATTTGCCACTTTCTCGAAAAAAAAAACAATAGTAGTTCGCAATTTTAATCTAGATTTTAAACGTTATTGGTAACGGTTATACCATTTTGTAAACGGTATCCGTGAACTTTATTCTCTTATCGCTTTCATACATGGGGACAATCAAAATTTCTAGAAATTACACAAGCAATAATGTACCGTGTCAAAAACGCAATAGGGTCGCGGCACGCGAAGGCTACATTGAACAGTGAACACGCCATAACACGAATTTTTAAAAATTTTGAATTGACGACATACTTTATGTACAGTAAGAAGAAAAAAAATATGATATTTCTGCATGGTTTATTGCCGTTTCTTTTAAGAACGAGACATTATTCCTGGTACCGTTTACGTTAAATAGAGATTTAATTCTTTAAAAAAGCCTTAATTGAAGAAAGAATAATTAATTGACTTGGGCTTAAATTATATACTTTATGAGTACATTCATGGATTTTAATAGTTTTGATAATTAAGAGCTGTCACAGAAATAAAGACAATGCAGTGAGATTCATATCCGGAAAATATGCCTAATTACAGAATTCTATGTCACTACATAATATAAAACAAAGTCGTCCCGCTGTCTGCCTATCAGCTGTATGTATGCTTAGATCTTTAAAACTACGCAACGGATCTAGATGCGGTTTTGTTTACTAGATAGAGTGATTCAAGAGGAAGGTTTATATGTATAATACATTGCACCCGCGCGAGGACGGGCGGGTCGCTAGTATACATATATATATATATGTATAGAAATGTCTCAATGAAGTTATCATTAGGAATCTCCAAGAGGACCCAGAACGCTGTAGTCTATTTTATATTGAATTAACCAATATTATACAAGTTGTCTAATAATTGAAAAAAATTAATAACAAATACTCATATTCTAATGAGTTTTAAAGGTTAATTGGTAAGTGAAGATGTGTAGATTTTAATGTTATACCGGTGGAGGATGCTTATAATATACAGGATTTTATATAACTAACAACATCCTTTGTGCATTTAATTTGAGTCACCGGCTCGTGCATAGTGAGGTACCGCTAGTCACCGTGGACAGCGGTCGAATGCTTTTTTGTGTATCGCTACGTTACCATAGAGTCTACCCTCAATTCAGCGTTTGTCTATACACCGTTGCCATTGAAAGTAAACATGCTTACATGACGCGTTGCCAAACATGTCAATCGGCTGGCATTTGCTTTATGAACCGCTGCAGCGGAGCTTTGTTTGCGAATGATTTAGCGTAAGCGCGGACGCGATTGTAAACATTTACAATAATTACGATATTATTTATACACATCTGTTTTGATGTTTGCAAGTGTAACGTAATATATTAAGTTATTCCACGCAGATTTATTTTAAAGCGTCGTGGATTTCAACGGATTCGGAACATTCGATTTTCTATAATCTGCACACATTTACTTTTCAATTTGAATTAGTTTTGAATTAAACATGCATTTAATAAATGCATGTTTAATTCTAAACAATAACTCATAATTACCTATGTAATAAACTTATCTCTTCAACATAGTAGAATTTATAATGAAGGTTTGTAAATATTCATGTTATCTTATATAGTTAACCCCGTGACTTAAAATAGAATATTTCACTTGCCCATGGGCTACATTTATAGTTTAAACAGCATCCAGTAGCATGTAGACCTGTATAATATGCAAACTATAAAAAATAAATCCATATCTGAGATACACGCAAATAGGCAATTTTGACGACATCAAACAAATACTTTTGTTGTTGAATGAAATTAATTGATTTGTTTGATCTCAGCAATAGAATAAGAAGGGCGCGTTTTCATTGTTCCAAAAGGAAGGTGTTCGTGCCGAAAATTTTTCAAAATGTTGCAAATATTAAATTCGAAAAGCTAACATCGCCGGGTCGGAAGCATTTGTTTATGGAAGAGCTCGCGCTTGCTCACGGCCGAGTCTGATGAAAATCCACCTTAAGGGCGCGGTTGTGTTCAGAGGTAAATTCAGCCAATAAAAGCGCGGCCCATAAGTTTTGCGGATGTCATTTCGGCCAATGAAAGCGCGCCCATAAGTTTCACCGAGGTCAATTCGGCCAATGAAAGCGCGCCTTGAGGCTCGCTCGGCGGCGGCGTATCATAATTTCAACGTGGTACCGACCGTCCGTTGGCGATGTGTACAGCTTCTTGCACAGCTCCTGCGGCCCGCCCAGCGCGTTGATCTTGGCGAGGCCCTCGGGGCCGCGCGTCTCCATCAGCTCGCGCAGCTGCCGGAGGCTGACGCCGTACTGCGCCGGCCGCCCTTCCACCGTAGCCATGGTGACGGGCTCGCGGCCGCCGCCCGCACCACGCCCGACCCTCTAGATCTGAAACAACGAGGACCGATTATGAGACACAAGGCATAAGACAAATATTACCTCACTATAATTTAAGCACGCGATATATACAGGTATTCTTGTTTCTCCTGCCCTTATCACACCTACGTGAGGTCAGCACAACATACAACACACTCTGTTACTATCATTTACTCGTAAGCACGTGATATGAACATCAATTCTTGTTTCCCTTGTCCTTATCCCACCTAGATGAGATCAGCACGACATCTACACATCTATTCTTCTTTCTGCTGCCCTTATCACACTTAGGTGAGGTCAGCACAACATACAACACACTCCAACCCCAATAATTTAAGCACGTGATATGTACATCTATTCTCATTTCTCCTGTCCTTATCCCACGTAGGTGAGATCAGCACAACATATACACATCTATTCTTTTTTCTTCCGCCCTTATCCTACATAGTTAAAGTCAGTCCGATATGTGAATCATGTTGTTGATAGTATTGGATACTTTTTTACTACCGGCCGCCTACAATAAACACATCAGGATCCGGATCAATTATCTATGGGAATTGGACCAACGTTATGGACGTCGTAGCCAATAGTTTAGCAACTCGCTACGGAGCCATCGTGATAAGTACTTATCTATCATTTTACAAGGGAAAACGTTTAAAAATATAAAGGAAAATTTAGAGGCAAATAAAATCTTATATTGAACAATAAAAATATTTATAATAAGACTGGCGTCCACGTAACTAAAAAATCTTTTACAGTTCACTAATTGTCTAAAGGATAGCTACTATTAAAGGAATTCCTCTTGTCTTTGAGGTATCGTAAATAAGAATGAGATTACATAACATTTTATCTTAGGCATGTTAGCGCAGATATCACAAATAGAGAAAAATGTAATTAAGTAGCGCCACGTACCTAAAATAAATTATTCGAATCACTCAAACATAACTTTATCGCGAGGAGTTATAAAATAATTGACCTTTTAAACATAGGCCAAATGCGTATCGACAAATATATCTCCTATGTCCTAAGAAATTACTCTTTTTTATATATATCTACTTTTATAGGTTCTTAAAGGTTTTCCAATTTGCCACTCGGAAGAAGTGAACGAGCTATGTGTTGTAAGTAACGCTAAGTGCACTCTACTGTTGCACGTTGCATAATTAAGTAATGGATGTTAGGGGTAGAGCGTTTTACACCTACGCGAAAGGTGAGGAAATTGGATCTACCCACGCGACCCGTACACCGTTAGAGATACTGTTAGTACGTCGTCCGTTGCAAAATATCCTTCTAATACAATGGTAAATAGTGACGCCTACATACGCAAAGTTCCCGAGACACGTGACGCGACATTTAACATACATGTGACGTTATTGTTGCTTCAAAAAAATGTTTTATCTGAAAATATAATAGAGTTAAAATTATCTTACGGCATTCCTTTAGGTCGGAATTAAGCTTTACTGCCTATAAAACTACATCGTAAAAATTATCGCATATAACTGAACAGATTATTCACTTCACTAATTATAGTTTTTACATTATAATTTTGAGTGTGTTGCATCAGATCCGGCGAAGCGTACGGTTATGTCATACACTTTTTAAACAAATAGAGATATTTAACAAAATTATATGTTGTTTAATTTGAAAAAATTTTGTGCTAGCCTTTGCACTAATAAGATGATACACATTTTGTGTAGAAAAAATTTGTGTCGTAAATGTTTTGTCTCTGCCGGGAGGTGAACCTATGTCATCCAGATTATGTAAACTGAGCGATTTTTTTACAGTTTTATCTAGACATTTTTAAAACTATATTACTGAATAAAATGAAGATGTAACGTTAGTTAATTTGCCTACAATAACGAAGGAACTTTAAAGTCTGTGAAGACTGCAGTGTAAATATATAAAAGTGAATTAAAGGGTCGAGGGATAACATCGCTAATAATCGTAAAAAACCGCTGCACGATACACGAGGGGAGCTCTAATATAAGAAGAAAAAACAACAGTACAAACAAATTATTGGACGTTTCAAGATAATGGTCGCAGGAAATGGCGGGCCGAACGTATAGTCGAGGTTTTAGGGCTCATCAGCGCGTTGGGGTGGCGGCTCACACCTGCGAAGGCTGTGCTGGTGTTTATGGGGCCATAAAGTCATTCCGCGCTCCACTGCACTGTCATGCATAATTAAGACGGCGACGGAGGGTTAATAAAACGGGAGGTTTGATAGCCCTGCTCGTGTTATGAATAGATGCGCCTTGTAATGCGATTATCCGAACAAGGACGGGGTGGAGTTTTGTAACGGCGAACAGTGTTTAAAAGTGGAAAATTAAGAGCTGTAATAGATTCCTTAGGGTTAATATTTTATTAGAATTCTTTATGGGATAAACGTGAGGTTAGCGCACGTGACAGTGAGTAATTTCCGAATGAAGTACACTCTGACATTAGTACTTAAAGCAACTCAGTCTGTCCAGTGACCATAATACCTGTAAAGGGTTTGATACGTCGGGAATGTAAATTCAAAATAAAACGCGATAATATCCGTAAACATTTTTCATTTAAACATGTATAGTATTCATCCCCATCTGTTAGCGAGCTATGTGTCTGGCCTATGGCCACTTCAACTTGCTAATCGTCTAAGTTATGCCGGTTATCTAAAAAAAGATTTCGAGTGACAGCCTCTTATTGGTCATCTTAGTGTAGGAAGACCCCTCACTATATGTAGTGATGATCTGTGCAAATGTGATCTGCGGTAGGTCGATTGATGCAGGTGGTTCAGGATCGTGCTTTGTGGCAATCTGTGGGGGTGGCCTATGTTCAGCATTACTTAATTTTTTTTGAAAAACATTGCCATTACTTTAGGATAACATTATCCTGTGTTGTATGAACGTTTTACAAACATAAATTTCACGTGGATAAACACCCAGATGCGAAACAACTATCAGTGGGTCACACAAATAGTTGTAGTTGGGAATCGAACCCACGACCCACGAACCCGAAGCCAAATACCTTGGCAACTGCGCCACGGAGTCATCTAGAGCATTGCAGAGTACAGTGCTGCACATAGGCCTCGATATACTGAAAACGCGTATCGATATGTCGTTAACTACGTTTCTGAACATGAACGACGAATGCGCGAAACGAGAAGTGCAAACACCGGCGGCCATTTAGGAATTCACGTGAGGGGGAAGCACTCGAGTCTGTTAGCAGAGCAATCAAAGAAAACGAGCCTATCGCAGTCGCTGGGTGGGTTCACAACAAAAGGGAGGTTAAGTGCCGCCTAAAGCGAACACAAAACACACAAAGCGGCGCGGCGTTTTCCTCGAAGAATGCTTGGATATCATCTTTGTGAAAGCAAAAAACTAAAGACACGACCTATCTATATATATATGTCCCACAGCTGGGCGAAGATCTCCTTTGTATAGAGGCAATTAGGGCATAGTCCAACAGTGGGGTTACCCACTGCGGATTGGGAGGCTACATATATTTTGGAAACATACACTTATTACCATTTCGAAAATATACACAATTCGTCACGATGTTCTCACAGCTTAGTACGTGATAAGTCAGCGCTTAAAATTGCAATTAACATTTTCATTGGTGCCGGCGGATTTGATCTTGGGTTGCTCGAGTACATTGAATTAAAAGGAGCGGCCGGACACTGAGCTATCACGACTTATTTGTAGCAGGCTAGTACTCCACTAATATAGTTACTAGCCCCCGATAAGCCGAATAATGGAAATCGATTTAGTCGAAAGTGTTAAGTACCTAGTTATTGGTAAAAGACTAACGCCCGGTTTCTAAAACACTGATCATCGTAGAAATTATGATCAATTCAAAGAGTTTAACCATCCTTTTGGCAACTCACATGACATTTGAGATGCCATTGAGCTGATTAGTTAATTTCACGTCACAATACGATAATCAGTGTTTCAGAAACCGGGCATACGTTTACCGCCTATGTTCGCCCGAGCATGCGGTACGTTATACGAGACGGAAACCCGGTGTTCCACGCCCGATGTATAATATGCTGTTTGAGTGATTAGTTTGTTTGCATTGTACTTTATAACAGACGGACGGTTGAGTGTTGTAAACCATTTATATGAAGATGCAGATGTTGGCGGAAGTTCGCGCGGAGTGAGTGAATATCTCGAAGTAATGGAGTAATGTAAATATTGTGTTTGGGTTATTTTTAAATCGCTAATATGGTATTATTGTTGGTTTTTTTTAAGTATATTTTCTAAACATTTTGCCAAAGAAAATATTTAAACCATATTTTTAATAGGACATTTAACTCATCCTTACATAGCTCCTTATGACAAAAAATTAAGAACAAGAAGATTGGGAGTTGTACACTAGTTTTAACTTCAGACTGCATCATACCGGTTACATTTTGTTTTTGTGGTTCGTGCCCATTCATGTCCATGGTCTGTATTCATGGGAAATATACCGAAAAAGAAACAAATTTGTAGTAATAGGGGGTGGGATTTTGTCTCGAAACGAAAGAGTATGCTGCGCGGATCCGAAGTGGATGTTATTAGCCGTAACTAAAGTGCGAGCGGGGTGGGGGAGGGGGTTTAAAGTGGGTCGTGCTCTCCCCTCCTCCCCTCCATCCCTGGCCCCCACGGAGAGGGCTGCCAACGGCATCCGGGTTGAGTGTCGTTGAACGGCCGGCAATTGGGTCGAGGGAGCGCCCATCCCCACTGGATCCAGCGGTATCCGCCAGGAATCTTCGACTCGACTGTCTTGCATATCTCGGCCGTCGAGATTAATCGAATTTGCCAATGGGAATATGCAACGGCCGCAAAGGTCCCGGCTGCGAGTCGAGTATTTGTTTCCAATTAAGACGTGAGTGAGCGAAATAGGCTTTCGTGCCAATTCGCAGATTCTCGGTTTCTTTTATTTTTATATATATTTTATTTCTTTGATCACAATACTGACTAAACTAATATTGTTATCCTAAAGTGAGGGCA